TAAAAAGTGCCACAGCATAGCTCAGTGCATCGCGTAGGTACTCGAGGTACCCCGTCATGATTTCTGTCGGACTTCTTGTGTTTCGGACTTTTTCAGAAAAGTTTGGTTAAAATCTTCATCACTCATCGGATTGGATTTGCACACATTGCTGTCGGATGGTTCTTGGAACCCCGGATCATGGTCATGTATTACATTTATTTTGAACATAGCGAGGTCTCAATTACATCGTGTAAAGGAGGAAACGAACTTGTCCGTGGCTCCGCTGTTCGGCCCACTAGACCTGTTCATGCTCGATGCACTCTGACTTAAAAGCTTAGTACAAACAAGGTATGATGAAGCGTTTTCTCATCTTGAAAACTCGTTCAGTCACTCTTAGTTTTCTCTTTCCTGCTCAAGCCGACGGTGTCTTAGTTTTCTTGTTTTATTTCCATCCTTGGGCTCGACTTGTAAGGAAGTTTTCTGCACTCTCTAACATCACTATAGTGGACATATAGCGTCAACATTTTACCTTCAGAAATCATACTTTCTACAGTGGATCGTTTTATCTCTTCGTGTTCGCCTTACACTGGGTCTGACGCAGTGGTTATGCAAACACTACCGGATAGACTGGCGCGTAGAGCTGCACGTTCCGGCATGTGCTTTGCTGAATACTGAATACTGTATTATAGAGCAAGTAGAAATGGATTCTGTACAACTCTTTCGAAATATTGTGAAAAACATTATACTAGTTGTCAACCGTGAATATCCTTGTCGTTCTCATGTAATATTTAAAATATTCGACTTACGATATTTCAGGATTCACAAACGTGATATGTCATCGTAAGTGTGCAGTCGTTCTCTGAATCGAATAGAGGCAAAATGCAAATCTAACAACGTTTTGAACTGTTGCACAGATGTTGCCTCAATCACATGTTCGGGCAAACTATTCCAAATATTTACCACTCTCCGTTCGAAGCACAGTGGGTGTGGAACACGTTTCATATCCGGCACAACAAGTTTGTATCTGTGTCCGCGTGTGCTGCATGGCCCTCGTAAGTGCAGCATTGGCCTTAACATGGGGAACTCACCGAGATGTAGAATTAGGTAGGTCATAATGAGGTCGACTCGTACCCGACGGTAGGACAAGGTGTAGAGTCCTAGTTTCTCGCACCGGTCTTCATACCCAAAGCCACGTAAACTCGGGATCAGCCTGGTAGCAACGTGTTGGACCCGTTCGATCTTTTGTGCCTCGCCTCGGGTAATCGGAAAGTAGGCGGGCGAACCGTACTCTAGCATTGGTCTAATGATAGAAGAGAACAGGCGATTGGCAACCGCTTCAGACCATGTGCCGAAGCTACGTTTGAGCGCCCAAAGCATGCGCAGTCCGTTCCGATATAGCCTGTTCGTGTTGTCCACGGACTTCAAATCGTAGCGTGAGAGTACACCTAGGTCCTTCACGGAGGGTGTGGGATATAGCGTTTGGCCGTCAAGAGTCTAGGTTCGGCCGTCAGCACCCTTCCCCAGGCTCATAAATACGGACTTGGCTGGGTTGACCGGGAGAAGAACTTCTGCAGACCATGTGGATAAGCGGTTGAGATCTTGCTGAAGTAGGCCACAGTCGTCGGGAGCGTCGATTTCTCTCCATATCTTCATGTCGTCCGCAAACAAGGCACACGGCGACCGGAGAAGCTGCGGTAGATCGTTGATGTGGATCAGGAACAGAGTGGGCCCCAGCACAGTGCCTTGAGGCACGCCACTTGTAGAGGGGTACCAGTCAGTTAGATGGTCGTCGACCTGTACCCTCCACTTTCGTCCAACAAGAAAGTCGCGGATCCACCGGTGCAGTGAGCCACCGACGCCACACATGCTGAGTTTGTGAAGGAGAACCTCATCACTGACCTTGTCGAACGCTTTACTGAAATCGATGAATATCACGTCGACGGACTTCCCCTTGTTTATTGCCTTCAACCACTCATGCCTCGTCACAAGCAGGTTCGTAATGCATGAGCGACCTTGCATAAAACCGTGCTGTGCGGGCGTCAGGACCTCGTTTGATTGTAGCAATTGCAGCAATCTCTTCTTCACGATTTTCTCAGCAACCTTTGCCAATATAGGTGTCAGACAAATTGGCCTGTAATTGTCTACTTTGCTAGAGTCGCCGCCTTTCGGAATAGGCTTCACCACCGCACATTTCCAGTCAACCGGCAACAAACCTTCGGAGAGCGACCTGTTGAAAAGGTCAGTCACGATAGGGGAGAGGATGGTTGAAAGTGACTTGAGAACCAGTGGGTGAAGCCCATCAGGTCCGGCAGGTTTGGTGCCGTCAAGGTTGGCGAGTAGTTGAGCTACCTCTTCGACGCCGCAATGCAGACTATCGAGTTCGGTAAAAGCGGTACACGTCGAACTCGGAACAGACACCTGGTTATTCGCAAATACAGAAGCGAAGTGCGCCGCCAACGCGGACGCACGCTCAGTGCTGGAGGTTAGGGGCTGTCCTTCCATGCCATCCAGCACTGGCACATCACCTGACGGCTTCAGGCGTCGCTTCACGTATGCAAAGATTCTCTTTGGGGCGGTCTTCGCGGCTAATGCGAGCTGCTCTTCAAAGTGTCGGCGTTTATTCTTTTTGCACTGTTGCAGAGATTCCGCTGACATTTATACCCTTCGTAATCATTGGCAGAGCCAGAGAGAAGGAATTTGTCCCACAGCCTGCGCCACCTCCGAGCCAGGTTTCCATACTCCTTATCAAACCAATGAGGCTTAATCGGTCCAACCTTTCGACATTTCAATGGCACAAATTTGGAACACAATGATGTCAATCTATCTTTTATAAATATCCAACAATCCTCCACAGATGCAGTTTGTGACAGAGACCAATCCAGTTTGCTCGCGGCTCGAGCTAGACCATCGAAGTCGGTTTTCCAGTAGTTGGGAGCTGGTTGCATCGGATGTGAATACGGCAAAGATAATTCCATATCAGCTATCAGTACTGAGTGGTCGCTCGTAGCCAGGGGCTCCAGGATCCTAACGTCACGCACTCGTTGTTCGTAGCTCGTTAACATCAGGTCGAGACAGGACGAGGTTGAACGTGTTGATATGCGTGTTGGCTGGCATATGTGTTGCGATGCACCAGTTTCAAGTACCAAATCCACGAACTTTGCTTCAACCTCACTATGTCCAGGCATCAAATGCACATCAGGCCATCGTATTCGAGGACAGTTAAAATCACCCATAAGCAGAAAGTGTGGACGACTCATGTGGGTCCGAAGATGGGGCAGCCAATCCAAACAACGACTCAGGGGACTGCGATAAACTGCGCCCACAAGCAGTTCTCCGCGCCTGAGGCGGATGGAGCACCACAGTAGCTCACACAGACCATCGTCACTTCGGTAGGTGCTCACAAGTCTCCCACGCAGGGAAGACCGGATGTAAAGTAAGACACCACCGTGGGCATTCTTTAGTCTATCGCATCGGAAACACGAGTAACCGTTGAGTTCAAGTTCTTGGGTGTATAACTCTGCATGCAGCCATGTCTCTGCGAGTCCCACTACGTCTGGCCGCTCAGACGCAACGAAACAACAAAGCTCATCGCGCTTATTCATAATACTGCAAACGTTTGTGAAGGCTACTCGCAGGCCGCAGCAGGAGCCACCGGGCGTGCTTGAAGTGTGAGCAGCCTGTTTATCCTGATTCGCGGATTGTTGGAAACCACCCGAAAATTTACGATACGAAGATTTGTTTCCCCCTCACCAGTGCGTCTTTTCAACTCAATGATGGCAGACTTGAGCCGCTCCCTGTCTACTGGGTCCAGGTCGGGACGAACATGGATCTTCAAACCTTTCAGCCTACTTAGGCGAGACATGATAAGTCTTGGACTGGCTTCGTCCACAAAAGTGATTCTCATAGGCCGATTTTGTTGATCACCTTGCTTTCCAAGACGGGTAATCTGCCTCACTTGCAGCTTCAAAATGTACAGTGTTGTTGCTCGACTGGACCAACACACCGGTTCTAGCCATCGCCGAACAGCCACTGGAAGTAGTGGATCGTTTCACTTACCTTGGTAGCTGTGTCACCTCTGATAATCTTATCATTGAGAAAGTTAATTCGCGTAGCAGCAAGGTCCGTGTGTCTTTCCAGAGGATCAATCATCTATAGAGACGGCGGGATATCAGCCTGTCATTGAATGACAGGGTGTATAAGGTTGCGGTAAGGTCGGTCTTACTGTATAGATCGGAGACCTGGCCAGTTCGCAGTGAATACATTAAACACCTGGCCATGTTTGCTCACGTCTGGTAGGAACACCGAGTGAGCAAAGCTGAAATCCGCCAGTTGGTTTTTGGCAAGACGCCTTCTGGTGCCTATCTCGAGTGGTTGCTAAATCGTAACCGCTTACTTTGGCTGGGCTATGTCCTCTGTATGCCCGTTGATCGGCTTCCTCTTCGTGCATTATACGCCTTAACTGCACCAAGTTGGGAGAAACCGCGGCGTGGCCAGTCCATGACGAGGCATGGGGGGCATAAAGAAACCGACTGAGAGACTTGGTCAGGCAGGTGCGTGCCGTCTTCGTGGATGGGGTCTCGGAATGGCCCACACCAATGGTTGGAGACCGTGTCAGACATGGCGTAGCCTCGCAATCAGTTCTGTTCCTGTATTCGGTTCCTTACATCTGGTTGTTAATTTTCGTTCCATCCTGATTATTTTAATGCATTTCCTTGCTTCCAGTTTCTTTACATTCTATTTGTATTAAACCCCGCTATTGTGATTCCTTGTTATTCTTGCGATGTGAGTCGTGGCAACTAGACCCACCGCACTTCGCTGCTCGAATCATAGTTGTTCAGTAGAACTTACCTGTACTCTCCTTACATGACAAATGATTTTCGTTGGGCACCGCTCTACATTAGGTGTAAGTAATGTCTAATCACGAATTGCTGCTTTCATTCGATCTTCGTTTGCTTTACACATTTTATCAAGTTGATTTGCCACTTAACTGGATAATATGTGCTATGTTTGGTTCGTTGTAGAAACGCCTCCGCACTCCCCTCGACAACCCTTTCCGAGCGATTACTGATAACGAGAAGTCTCTCCATCTCCGTGTATCCAAGGTGCAATCGTTCGAATGTCCCTTATTCTCTACTCCACTTTCCAAGTCTGCAAAGAATTCCGGAATCGAGCCACCTAGTGTCCAACGTCGTCCCTCTGTTTTATACGAGATGGCCATCATGCGCCGTCACGTCCTGTCCTCGACCGCTCCCGGTTTCCCAAGGGGCTATCCAGCCCCCACCTCCACTCACGCATCCTCTATAGCGCGTGGCGAAACCGACTGCTCTCGCAAACCTTTGTCAAAGCGACCCATAGCTAACCCAAAGCGACACAAACTCCATATGAACAAGTTGTTACGATTAGATTCCTTTTTATCTAAATTTTAAACATCTTCCTTGTGCTCTTTATTTTCACCTTCGAATACATCGTTCGAGTCTTGTACTTATTTCACCATTGTCCGGCAGCCGTATAGCCCTTTACTCATAACGCGTGGCGAAACCGACTCCTCTCGCAAGCCTTCGTCAAAACGACACAAACTCCATATGAACAAGTTGTTGCAATTCGATCTTTTTATCTAAGTTTTAAACATCTTCCCTGTGCCCTTTGTTTTCACTTTTGAATACATTGTTCGAAACTTGTACTTATTCCATTGTTGTCCGGCAATGTGTAGCCCTTCACTCATACACATATCCTGTTGTTCCCTGAGGACGGTTGCTCTATGAGTTGTACACTAATAAAGCGTATGAGTGCTTTCCAATTAACAGCAATGGTTCATGTGTTCCACCTCTAGGAAGTGTTGCCATCGGCGCTCGTACTCGATAACGTTCTACCAGTTCAGTACATTTGACTCGATATCGAAGTGCAGCGCGTCCAGTCGTCTTAGCTCCCATCGCTACTGTCACGGTCATTTCACCGGTGCGTGAGACTATGGGGCATTATACATATTAGCTATCGAACTACGACCGCAATGGCGTTCGGGTTGTTGGGTGATGCAGCTAAGAGTTGGCAGCAAAAGACGCGACGTGAGCATCACTGATTTCGAGAAAATGCTTTCTTGGGGAGTCTCAAAGCACTTGTGTGCTCGGCAAAGCAGCTCCAATCGAGCAAGCGGAACTGCGCCATCTATTCACATCGTTCAATGGCTCCAAATGATTTTGAGTAACCGGTCGCACTGTGCAACTGATAGGGCCGTGCACAGGTTTTCGGAGGAATTTGTGACCAGCATAGCAAATCAACTTTACCTGGTATAATGGAACAGTGCATTTATCACGGATAAAATAGCAACTGCTTAACAATTCTCCGCAGGTAAAGAGTGAAACCAAAAATGAATGTCTCAAGAAATAATGACGCGTAGAGGCGGACTCACCGCAAATTTCACTTGTTCACCTAGTCTGCTTACTTTGTCCCCCGTCCCAGTATCTTGGTGTAATACATCACCAAGTCGAATTTTGTATTCATCTGTGGTAGGAGTGGAGATGATAGAATGCGGAAATACGTTCCACTACTGGGACAGACGAATGGAGAAAACGTTTCAGTGACATTCTAACCAGTGGTACTATGTTGCTAACTTCAAATGATAGCCTCTCAGTGAGGTGCTGTGGCTGAGTTTCAATAAGGGTCGGCATGGGTGGTTAGGATCCTTGGGGATCTGATACACACATATGTGGTCAACTTACAGAAGACGATATTGTCCGACGAAAACTCTTAGAGTATTTAGTCTCAAATGGTAAGGGAGATGGAGCAGTCCCTTGACGTTTCTTGTCGCCCTCTTTTGTTGCTTCTTAAGATCAGTGAGGTCGCATCTTTGTAAAGGGTGCTACACCTGAATGGCGTATACTACATGTGGCGTCACGTAAGTGTTTAGCATCTGCGCAAAAAGTTAGGATCAAATGTCCTGCTTTCTCAATTTGTCTTTTGCATCCGAGATCGTCCTGCACCAACACCCAAAGATCACTTTCAATTGAAGTGCGCTGCAAGACGTGTTGTTCTATTCGAAATTCGTAGGTTTCCCGTTGGGGCATGCTCATTATCTCAAAATTTACAGTGTTAAACTCAAGCATGTTCTGGGCCGAAAACACGTAAGCCTTGTTGAGACCACGTTGCAGTGCTACGTGATCGTCAGCTCGCTTTATCGCCTACCAAGTCTTGAGACCGTTCGCAAAGAGTAGAAATTTCGAAGTTAGCACTCCCGTGAGGTCGTTTATGAACACGAGGAATTGCCGTGGTCTTAGTACTGAGTTTTGAGGGACCCCACGGTGTACCTCTATCGGGTCGAACAGAAAGCTACGGACTCGCACATTCAAGCGTCGTTGGAGTTGGAATGAATGAATCCATCTCAGGATGTGATCACTAATCCCATAGCTCCAAAGTTTGTAATAAAGAATGCAGTGATCTAGGTGATCAAATGCCTTCGAGAATTCAAGGTAGGCGGCATCGTTGGATTCAGTCCAACTGGGCACGGCCTAACAAATGGTTCAGGTACATGATCGGTTTTAATGGAATCCATGCTGCTCCTTCATGATAATATTGCACCTTTCTAGATATCACATAAGTGCATCTGCAACGACAGACTCCATGATTTTAGCCAGCATAAGAACGAGATAACCCAGGTGGTAGTTTTTGGTCACAGCACGATTGCCTGCTTTGTAAACGGGGGTGACTATCCCGCTCTTCCACATAGTTAAAACCTGCATCACGTGGAGACAGCGCTGGAAAACGGAGACAATGGCTCAGTTGTCATCAAAACCTTGGAGCGTATGTTATCGGTACCATGTGAACATCACTCTCGCAGTGACATCAGGCACATCTGCAGTTGTGAAGGAGAGGTGGCTAAGTTCTGGTGGTGATGTGATCTGTGTGAGATGGTGATGCGTTCTGGAAACCACAATGGGGGTTTAGAAGAAGGAAGCCTCGCTGTACTTTGCGGAACATATTAACCTGACTTTAAAACATCTTAGGATAGCAGCAGAACTTGTCCATCATCATCATCAATGCACGTTAGCAGAACTTATTCAGCAAATCCTGTTGGTGTTTCAAATTATCCACGCCGACCAGTATGGCACAGTGGTTTCGCTCGGTTATATAGGCATCCTAGTTTTCGGCGTTTGGAGTGGCTTTATATTCTTTCCAAAGTTGCTCGCTCGACATCATTCATTTCCACGTTCTGCTTCTCATGAAGCACGTTACCACTTTTGAGCGGAGGATCTCAATCCCTAGCGCGTTTGTTACTCGGGTGTTGAACTGCATGACGAACTATCCTCATGCGACATTAGAGGGTTGTTCCGCTAGAAACAACCAGTCAGTGCTCTTGATGAGGCCGGATAAAATGTTCTAATGTGTTACTATACGAACCTCTCCCTTTTGGGCTGATCAGACGTAGCGTTGCATCATCACCGCGCCCCTGGTGACTACTCACTGTCACTTTGTCGATCATAAGTTCCTCATTGGCAAAGGCGAGGTCCATAATGGCCGGCTTGTCTCCCGCTCTAAATCTCCTAGGACAAGTAACGTGATATTGAAGTGGTAGGCCAGTGACTAGCTCTTGCAGTTCGGCCTTAAACTGTTCACCAATGTGGGTTTGAGCCTATAGAGCGTGTAAACCGAAGCCTCACCTAAGGAGAACGTGAGTGTTTGAGTCAGAGCGATTTTCAGAGCAGAAGCTATACGGTTGTTCGTTTTCAGAGTGGGCAACCGAACATATAACCAAGTCTTAGTTGCAGGTGGCACCAAAGTGAGCCCATAACTTGCATCTCTGAGACGTCGATGGCTTGCAGGTACAGGTCGCTGCGACGGTACAAGCTTACACCGCCTCCCCTGACAGATCGATCTCTACGTAAGACGGACATACCTGGTAGATTGATCTTGGTATCCGTTATTTCATCGTTCAGCTAGGTCTCATCATTGTCGGGTCAATGGACATCGAGGCTTGTCGAGATTGAAGCTCCGATAATTTTCTTTCAGAGGTCCTAAGCATCAGTATGTATACAGAAAAGTTCAAATGTCAGCAGCGCATCTGTCTGTATGAGTGTCAGGCGTGAGCTATTGCCGACCGTTTTGAGACCGGCAACTAATCGTTCTTTTGTGGAACTGTTGGCAGTGCACTTTGAGCCACTTCATATTGACTGGTATAATAACCACAGGATGAAGTTCCGGTTGTAGGAAGTATTGAGAAAGTCGCTGCCCTTCAACAATTCTTGTGCCCCGAAGTGGTCCATTTCAGAACTTAGGCTTACTAGTCGATGTTAAACCTTGATGACTTTTTTCTCTCGGTCATTTGGGGTCCAGCGCAACTCCACCGGGTATCCTGCTACACACTATCTGGCTGTTTAAAATGATTCGAAATACCGGTAGCTCGGGTTGATGAATCAATGGTTCATTTGTTCTCCGAGCTAGGTGGTTTTTCAAAACCAAAAGAAAAACTACGGGCACATGAACAACGCAATGTGGTATACAAAATACCTTGCCGAGATTGCGAAAGGGATTATGTTGGCCAAACGGGAAGAAAATTGGTAACAAGGATACAAGAACATAAGAGAGCCTGTGTAAAGCATTATGCATCGTCGCTAGTTTCAATACATGTAGATGAAGAAGGACATAGCTTCGATTGGAGCAAAGCAGAAGTCCTGGCCCTGGGTGAAACAAGAAAAGAAAGAGAATTCTTGGAAGCTTGGTTCTCAACGAAACATTCAATCAACATGCGTGTGGACATTGATTCAATATACGAACCACTACGACAGAAAGAAAGAAAGAACCTTTTGTCACGCCGTTTGAGGCAGAACAAATCGGGCGCCGACTTTAGCCTTGGGGAAAGTGGGTAGAGGTCACGAGACCTAAAATCGACACTGCCACGTTCGAAGTCACCTGCAGGTCGATCATGGAGGGAGGATTCATTTAGTAAGCTAGTACGCTACATATCACTGCACTGAGGATGCCACCTCGCATGGTGGTGAAACGTTTGCGAGAAAACCGCCTAGCTCGGAGAACAAATGAACCATTGACTATCTGGCTGATTCATTGGACATTCACTCGGTGTTCCCAACGGGTAAAGCCAGTGCTTCACAGGCAGCGGACGTGAATGTCAATCCCCCCATTAATGACTTTGCCACGCAGCGCCCAAGCCTCTGGTCCGTACGACAATACTGGATCTACTCGAAGCTGAGTCACCTGGAAGATCCCACGGGTTGTGAGCACTTGCCTCCGAGGTGGTTTACTTCCCCGATAACTAATCCGACCGAACATTTCAGTAACATATTAATGACGCGCGCAATCTGTACGTTGGTAGTACATGGCCGATGCTCCGTTGCTATGATGTTATATCTTTCTATGTAGCCCATTAGTGCCTCAGGTGTGATCGAATCCATCACCTTTGGGCGCACTGGGAGGAGAGTCACTGAGCGATAGTTGGCAGGCCTCGAACGGCTGCCACCCTTGAAAATCGGGATAATGATGGTCTGCATACATACGTTAGGAACCCGTTGTACGTTCAGCACTCTGAATAATAGTGGTAATAATAAGTGCATTCCTTTTCAATCATCGCTGATGCGGTATCTGGACAACCACAACTTAATAGCCCCAGAGCAACATGACTTCCGTCAAAAGCGTCCGTGTACTACTAACCTAGTGCACGTAATAACTGGACTGAAGCCTTTAATGATGGAACAGGAGTCGATGTCTGTTAGATCTTCCCCTTTTCGCTATTCCGAATTAACCACCCAGGAATTTCTCCGCAGCAATTCTAGCCCAGCCGAAGAAAAATCAAAATTCCAACAGCCTTGACCACGAAAAACGTGTTAACAAAAACTCTGCCAACGTAGCCAGAAAAATGCCGCCGAAAACACTGTCCTCTCAACTCTGAGGCAAAAGTCCAATTAGCCGAGTGTTTGAAAACGCATTCGTCCGCTCGATCGATTGCCTGATCGACCGCACGGGGTAGGCGATTCTCTTTAGCCCAGCTTTCAGTCACCATTATATACTTTCCCTTTTTTCTTTTATGTTTTTATCTGATTCCCGGATACCTCCCCTCCTGAAGCTGTTGCCGTTGTGTATGAAGCTAGCCGGGGATTAACCTGGAGCCTCCTGGAAGGGATTCTTCGCCTACCGGTGCATCGCCTTGGCTGTAGTGTTCTGGATTCGAATTCCGTACTCTGCGGTCTGGTACTATTCGTCTGATGACAGGGTTCTTCTACTGGCTCTGTAGGCAAGTTGAAGCTGTCTGTCAACAGGTCAAATGGAAGCTTGGCGGATTCTATTGCTTGTGGCTGGCACATTGTTGTTCGCAGTTGGTTTGCATGGCGTACCCATACCTGCGTTCCAACCAGCACGTCGTAAATGACGCTTCCGCGCTTGCACTGGATCGTTCCTGGCGTCCATTTTGCGTGTCCACCCCGATAATCACGCACAAGTACTGGCTGACCCGGTCTAAACGAACGTTGCTTGGCACCAAACCGCCGATTAAAATCACGTTCCATCTTTAGGTTCCTTTCACCAGCTATGGACTCTGAGGATGGCCGAACTGCATCATATGGCATGCGAAGTTTTCTCTTCATCATTGCCTCTGCTGGTGATATTCCACCCGGCGTTTGTGGATTTTGTGTAGATCGGTACAGAAATAGGAAGCGGTCGATCACCTCCTCTATGTCTCCCTCCCTCCTTGATTTGAGGAGAGCGCGTTTGAATGTATCCACAAACCTCTCTGCTTGGCCATTCGATTGTGGGTGGAATGGTGGAGACCGCACGTGTTTGATGGCGCAACGTTGGCAGAATTCCATGAATGTGGCCGAAGTAAACTGTGCTCCATTGTCCGTCACCAATGTTTCAGGGCAGCCGAACCTGCTGAAGATTTGTCGCAACCTAGAGACGGTTGCGCTGGTTTTCGTGCTTCTCATGAGGAACACTTCGGGCCACTTGCTATAAGCGTCGACCACTATGAGAAAGTTCTGGCCATTGATTGGGCCTGCAAAGTCTACATGAACACGACTCCAAGGTTTAGTTGGTTTAGGCCATGAGCGGAGTTCAGTCTTTGGCGGTGCCCTTGAGGCGGTAGCGCAGTTGCCACAACTTTTAGCTAGCTGCTCTAGCTGCCTGTCCATAAACGGCCAATATACATAACTTCTGGCAAGCGCTTTCATTCGGTTGAGCCCTGGATGTCCTGCATGGAACTGTCGCAGCACTCTTTGTTGCAACGCCCGCGGGATGACTACTCTGTCTGAGAACATGATGCAATCGTCCACAATGGAAAGCGAATGTCTTCGCTGATAGAACTGCTGCATTTCGGCAGATGAACACGAACGTGGCCAGCTGGTTCTGTGGAAGTGTGTCACCTTCTTCAGGATTGGGTCTCGAAGCGTTTCGGCCCGCACAGCATCGGCCGTAACTGGCATACCATGTAGTGCCTCGTTCACCAGGAATTTGACATCAGGTTCGATTTCAACTGAGGCAATGATGGTGTCCTCGTGTTCTTGTTGCTGGGAATCAATGAGGCGTGACAACGCATCTGCTTGGCCCAGCGAATTCGTTGACTGATAACGGATTTCAAAATCATAGCCCAGCAATGTAAGTGCCCATCGTTGGAGTCGATTGGCTGTATAGGCAGGAATTCCCTTCTTCGAGCCGAAAATGGCCAGCAGCGGCTTGTGATCCGTCAAGAGTTTGAAGCGGCGACCATACAGCATTTTGTGAAATTTCTTCACAGCAAACACTATGGCCAATGCCTCCTTCTCGATCTGACTGTAGTTTCTTTCAGCTTTCGTTAGCGTCCTGGCGGCATGTGCGATCGCCTTCTGAGATCCATCTGGGAACGTATGGGAAACTACGGCACCGATTCCTAGACTCGATGCGTCTGTGGCAAGGACAATTTCCCGGGAAGGATCAAAATGAGTTAGGAGTAAGTCTGAAGCCAACAATGACTTGACCCGCTCAAACACAGTCTGGCATTCTGGCGTCCAATTCCAGGTTTGGCCCTTGCTCAACAACTTATTCAATGGGGCACGCAGGCGATGTAGTTCGGGCAGAAAAGCGCTGTAATGACTGATTAGGCCACAGAATGAACGCAGCGACTGCAAGTCCACAGGTGGGGGCATCTTTTGAATAGCTCGGATATTTTCTGGATCAGGGCGACGACCGTCTTTTGAGAAGATGAAACCGAGAAACTTGATGGTTGGTGTAAAAAAGGTACACTTATCTTCGCGGATACGGAAACCATATGACTGGATACGTACAAGCACTTCAGCGAGCCGCTGAAATAGTTCTTCTGCCGTCCGACCCATTAAAATGATATCATCCAGGTACGCCGCGGCTCCAGAAACTCCCGCGAGCATGGTGTCCATCAGCTGCTGGAAGATGGCTGGTGCTGTTTTCACGCCAAAAGGGAGGCGGTTGTATTGGTACAAGCCACGATGAGTGTTGATGGTCAGCAATTCTCTTGAGCTTTCATCAACCTCAACCTGGAGGTAGGCATCGGACAAGTCGAGCTTGGCGAAACACTTCCCACCATTTAGCTTGGCAAAGATATCTTCTGGTATCGGAAGGGGGTATTGATGGTCGTCCAATGCGGCATTCAGGCCAGTCGAAAAATCGGCGCAGACTCGCACTTTACCGTTCGGCTTTTTCACAGCAACAATCGGCGCAGCCCATGAAGAGTAGTTCACTGGTGTGATGACACCGGCTCGTTCCAGTCGGTCGAGCTCCTGATCAACTGCTGTCATGGCTGCATACGGTACCGGTCTTTTTGCTCTAAAGACTGGCTTGGTTCCTTCACGAAGACACAACTTTGCTTTGAACTTAGTGCAGTGGCCGAGACCATCTTCAAACAAGGTGACAAACTGCTGCTTTAGCTTTCTGGTCATCTCTTCTATCGACAATGATGAATGTACTGGGTCGGTTTGTACTGTATTGCAAATCTGACTCATTGGAGCATCAAACAGTTGTAATTTTTCCATCCAGTCAAGTCCAAGGAGGTTCAAGTTTGGTCGATCAGACAAGTAGCAGGTTCCGGCCTTTTCCACTCCGTTGAATGCAATTTTGCAATTTATTTCTCCGACCAACTTCAGCACTCCACCGGATGCATTGTGAGCGATTTTGTTGGAATCAATCATTTTCGGCTTCTTTATGTGCTTCCAAGTGTTCTTGGAAATGATCGTTATATCTGATGCCGTATCGAACTGCAGCCGGGTTGGGATTCCGTTGATAAGCACAGTGATAAATCGGCGGCGTGTTCTAGAATGGCTGTGAAACGTAGCAATCACCGATAGTGATTCTGCGTCAGGTTTTCTGAAATTCTTCCTTCGGTAGGACTGCTTCACATTTCTTGGCCGGGACTGATGGCAAAAGTCTTCCTTGTGGCCGCGTTTATGGCACTTATCACAAATATGACGCTTGAATGGACAGTATCGTGCGAAATGCCATTCACCACATGACCAACAAGGTGTAGGCGGCTTGTTCGGCTTTCTGTTGAACGACTTATTCGAGCCAGATTTTCTTGCTTTTTGCACAGCATGAACAGTATCGGCAATGGTGGGGCGACTCTGCTCAATCATAGCCGTGTCGTGTTTCAAGGTAATTAACCGTTTGCATTCGCCTACAAGAGACTTCAATGTCAAATCTGGGTCTTGATCCAACTTAGCAAGGAGCCGAGTGCGGATTTCCGCGTCGCGTGGAGACTGTAAAGCACTGACAAATATAAGACACTTAAACTGGTCATCCGTCAAACAGCGTAACTTGAAACGTTCACATTCGCGGTTAACCATGTCTGCTAGTGCCCCATAATCGTCTGTATCACGCTTTACAATTTTTAGACATTGATAGCGAATGCTAAACAATGATGTTGACTCACCAAAAATTTCTTTGAGTGTTGCCACTGCTTCGTTGAAAGTGATGTCCTTCGGCTCTTTGGGCAATATGTGGTCAAGGAATCTTGTATGTTCATTAGTTCCCAGCTTGCGGAGCAAAAGGCGCACTTTCCATGAATCATCTTGACGGCTGAAATCCGTCTGGAACATATCCTCCCAACGTTTGAACCACGCCTCGAAAGTGGATTCGGAATCAGCATCATAATGAAATTCAGTGATTGAATTCGTAAGAAGATCAAGTGAAACAGCCTGCGTGTCCCGTGTAGCTGCTCCGTTTGATTGTACGTTTAAGCACTGCGTTAAACTTTCAATCAGTTTCATTTGTGCTTCCATCTGGGATTGTTGCTGAAGAAGCAGCTTTTGAAAATGTTCGGCAGAAAAATTTGTAACATTTCCGTGCTTGTCCGTCGCCATTGTTAGATCTTCCCCTTTTCGCTATTCCGAATTAACCACCCAGGAATTTCTCCGCAGCAATTCTAGCCCAGCCGAAGAAAAATCAAAATTCCAACAGCCTTGACCACGAAAAACGTGTTAACAAAAACTCTGCCAACGTAGCCAGAAAAATGCCGCCGAAAACACTGTCCTCTCAACTCTGAGGCAAAAGTCCAATTAGCCGGGTGTTTGAAAACGCATTCGTCCGCTCGATCGATTGCCTGATCGACCGCACGGGGTAGGCGATTCTCTTTAGCCCAGCTTTCAGTCACCATTATATACTTTCCCTTTTTTCTTTTATGTTTTTATCTGATTCCCGGATACCTCCCCTCCTGAAGCTGTTGCCGTTGTGTATGAAGCTAGCCGGGGATTAACCTGGAGCCTCCTGGAAGGGATTCTTCGCCTACCGGTGCATCGCCTTGGCTGTAGTGTTCTGGATTCGAATTCCGTACTCTGCGGTCTGGTATTATTCGTCTGATGACAGGGTTCTTCTACTGGCTCTGTAGGCAAGTTGAAGCTGTCTGTCAACAGGTCAAATGGAAGCTTGGCGGATTCTATTGCTTGTGGCTGGCACATTGTTGTTCGCAGTTGGTTTGCATGGCGTACCCATACCTGCGTTCCAACCAGCACGTCGTAAATGACGCTTCCGCGCTTGCACTGGATCGTTCCTGGCGTCCATTTTGCGTGTCCACCCCGATAATCACGCACAAGTACTGGCTGACCCGGTCTAAACGAACGTTGCTTGGCACCAAACCGCCGATTAAAATCACGTTCCATCTTTAGGTTCCTTTCACCAGCTATGGACTCTGAGGATGGCCGAACTGCATCATATGGCATGCGAAGTTTTCTCTTCATCATTGCCTCTGCTGGTGATATTCCACCCGGCGTTTGTGGATTTTGTGTAGATCGGTACAGAAATAGGAAGCGGTCGATCACCTCCTCTATGTCTCCCTCCCTCCTTGATTTGAGGAGAGCGCGTTTGAATGTATCCACAAACCTCTCTGCTTGGCCATTCGATTGTGGGTGGAATGGTGGAGACCGCAAGTGTTTGATGGCGCAGCGTTGGCAGAATTCCATGAATGTGGCCGAAGTAAACTGTGCTCCATTGTCCGTCACCAATGTTTCAGGGCAGCCGAACCTGCTGAAGATTTGTCGCAACCTAGAGACGGTTGCGCTGGTTTTCGTGCTTCTCATGAGGAACACTTCGGGCCACTTGCTATAAGCGTCGACCACTATGAGAAAGTTCTGGCCATTGATTGGGCCTGCAAAGTCTACATGAACACGACTCCAAGGTTTAGTTGGTTTAGGCCATGAGCGGAGTTCAGTCTTTGGCGGTGCCCTTGAGGCGGTAGCGCAGTTGCCACAACTTTTAGCTAGCTGCTCTAGCTGCCTGTCCATAAACGGCCAATATACATAACTTCTGGCAAGCGCTTTCATTCGGTTGAGCCCTGGATGTCCTGCATGGAACTGTCGCAGCACTCTTTGTTGCAACGCCTGCGGGATGACTACTCTGTCTGAGAACATGATGCAATCGTCCACAATGGAAAGCGAATGTCTTCGCTGATAGAACTGCTGCATTTCGGCAGATGAACACGAACGTGGCCAGCTGGTTCTGTGGAAGTGTGTCACCTTCTTCAGGATTGGGTCTCGAAGCGTTTCGGCCCGCACAGCATCGGCCGTAACTGGCATACCATGTAGTGCCTCGTTCACCAGGAATTTGACATCAGGTTCGATTTCAACTGAGGCAATGATGGTGTCCTCGTGTTCTTGTTGCTGGGAATCAATGAGGCGTGACAACGCATCTGCTTGGCCCAGCGAATTCGTTGACTGATAACGGATTTCAAAATCATAGCCCAGCAATGTAAGTGCCCATCGTTGGAGTCGATTGGCTGTATAGGCAGGAATTCCCTTCTTCGAGCCGAAAATGGCCAGCAGCGGCTTGTGATCCGTCAAGAGTTTGAAGCGGCGACCATACAGCATTTTGTGAAATTTCTTCACAGCAAACACTATGGCCAATGCCTCCTTCTCGATCTGACTGTAGTTTCTTTCAGCTTTCGTTAGCGTCCTGGCGGCATGTGCGATCGCCTTCTGAGATCCATCTGGGAACGTATGGGAAACTACGGCACCGATTCCTAGACTCGATGCGTCTGTGGCAAGGACAATTTCCCGGGAAGGATCAAAATGAGTTAGGAGTAAGTCTGAAGCCAACAATGACTTGACCCGCTCAAACACAGTCTGGCATTCTGGCGTCCAATTCCAGGTTTGGCCCTTGCTCAACAACTTATTCAATGGGGCACGCAGGCGATGTAGTTCGGGCAGAAAAGCGCTGTAATGACTGATTAGGCCACAGAATGAACGCAGCGACTGCAAGTCCACAGGTGGGGGCATCTTTTGAATAGCTCGGATATTTTCTGGATCAGGGCGACGACCATCTTTTGAGAAGATGAAACCGAGAAACTTGATGGTTGGTGTAAAAAAGGTACACTTATCTTCGCGGATACGGAAACCATATGACTGGATACGTACAAGCACTTCAGCGAGCCGTTGAAATAGTTCTTCTGCCGTCCGACCCATTAAAATGATATCATCCAGGTACGCCGCGGCTCCAGAAACTCCCGCGAGCATGGTGTCCATCAGCTGCTGGAAGATGGCTGGTGCTGTTTTCACGCCAAAAGGGAGGCGGTTGTATTGGTACAAGCCACGATGAGTGTTGATGGTCAGCAATTCTCTTGAGCTTTCATCAACCTCAACCTGGAGGTAGGCATCGGACAAGTCGAGCTTGGCGAAACACTTCCCACCATTTAGCTTGGCAAAGATATCTTCTGGTATCGGAAGGGGGTATTGATGGTCGTCCAATGCGGCATTCAAGCCAGTCGAAAAATCGGCGCAGACTCGCACTTTACCGTTCGGCTTTTTCACAGCAACAATCGGCGTAGCCCATGAAGAGTAGTTCACTGGTGTGATGACACCGGCTCGTTCCAGTCGGTCGAGCTCCTGATCAACTGCTGTCATGGCTGCATACGGTACCGGTCTTTTTGCTCTAAAGACTGGCTTGGTTCCTTCACGAAGACACAACTTTGCTTTGAACTTAGTGCAGTGGCCGAGACCATCTTCAAACAAGGTGACAAACTGCTGCTTTAGCTTTCTGGTCATCTCTTCTATCGACAATGATGAATGTACTGGGTCGGTTTGTACTGTATTGCAAATCTGACTCATTGGAGCATCAAACAGTTGTAATTTTTCCATCCAGTCAAGTCCAAGGAGGTTCAAGTTTGGTCGATCAGACAAGTAGCAGGTTCCGGCCTTTTCCACTCCGTTGAATGCAATTTTGCAATTTATTTCTCCGACCAACTTCAGCACTCCACCGGATGCATTGTGAGCGATTTTGTTGGAATCAATCATTTTCGGCTTCTTTATGTGCTTCCAAGTGTTCTTGGAAATGATCGTTATATCTGATGCCGTATCGAACTGCAGCCGGGTTGGGATTCCGTTGATAAGCACAGTGATAAATCGGCGGCGTGTTCTAGAATGGCTGTGAAACGTAGCAATCACCGATAGTGATTCTGCGTCAGGTTTTCTGAAATTCTTCCTTCGGTAGGACTGCTTCACATTTCTTGGCCGGGACTGATGGCAAAAGTCTTCCTTGTGGCCGCGTTTATGGCACTTATCACAAATATGACGCTTGAATGGACAGTATCGTGCGAAATGCCATTCACCACATGACCAACAAGGTGTAGGCGGCTTGTTCGGCTTTCTGTTGAACGACTTATTCGAGCCAGATTTTCTTGCTTTTTGCACAGCATGAACAGTATCGGCAATGGTGGGGCGACTCTGCTCAATCATAGCCGTGTCGTGTTTCAAGGTAATTAACCGTTTGCATTCGCCTACAAGAGACTTCAATGTCAAATCTGGGTCTTGATCCAACTTAGCAAGGAGCCGAGTGCGGATTTCCGCGTCGCGTGGAGACTGTAAAGCACTGACAAATATAAGACACTTAAACTGGTCATCCGTCAAACAGCGTAACTTGAAACGTTCACATTCGCGGTTAACCATGTCTGCTAGTGCCCCATAATCGTCTGTATCACGCTTTACAATTTTTAGACATTGATAGCGAATGCTAAACAATGATGTTGACTCACCAAAAATTTCTTTGAGTGTTGCCACTGCTTCGTTGAAAGTGATGTCCTTCGGCTCTTTGGGCAATATGTGGTCAAGGAATCTTGTATGTTCATTAGTTCCCAGCTTGCAGAGCAAAAGGCGCACTTTCCATGATTCATCTTGACGGCTGAAATCCGTCTGGAACATATCCTCCCAACGTTTGAACCACGCCTCGAAAGTGGATTCGGAATCAGCATCATAATGAAATTCAGTGATTGAATTCGTAAGAAGATCAAGTGAAACAGCCTGCGTGTCCCGTGTAGCTGCTCCGTTTGATTGTACGTTTAAGCACTGCGTTAAACTTTCAATCAGTTTCATTTGTGCTTCCATCTGGGATTGTTGCTGAAGAAGCAGCTTTTGAAAATGTTCGGCAGAAAAATTTGTAACATTTCCGTGCTTGTCCGTCGCCATTGTTAGATCTTCCCCTTTTCGCTATTCCGAATTAACCACCCAGGAATTTCTCCGCAGCAATTCTAGCCCAGCCGAAGAAAAATCAAAATTCCAACAGCCTTGACCACGAAAAACGTGTTAACAAAAACTCTGCCAACGTAGCCAGAAAAATGCCGCCGAAAACACTGTCCTCTCAACTCTGAGGCAAAAGTCCAATTAGCCGAGTGTTTGAAAACGCATTCGTCCGCTCGATCGATTGCCTGATCGACCGCACGGGGTAGGCGATTCTCTTTAGCCCAGCTTTCAGTCACCATTATATACTTTCCCTTTTTTCTTTTATGTTTTTATCTGATTCCCGGATATGTCATCTACCTGGACTTCACAAAAGCATTTGATCGCTTAGACCATCAAATCTCCCTTCACAAACTTCGGAACTACGACATTGACGACCCAATCCTAAGGTGCATAGACAATTTTCTACACGAACTTCGGTTGGACGTGAGTGTCCGAGAATCTGTCCGATGCAATCTATGTGGTGTACCACAAGTGTCGGTGCTCCGGCCTCGTCTATTCTTGGTGTTCATTAACGATTTGGCAAGATTAACTGCTTCCGATTTCCTATGTTTCGCGAATAATATGAAGATATGACGAAGGACCGGACGATCACAAACGGTTTCAGTGCGATCTTAACACGGTGTCGAACTGGTCAGTTCAAACATCCTATCATTCAACGTAGACAAATGTCGCACTGTGCAATTACGCGATAGACGTGATTACACGCATTTGCTTTGTTCACACAGATTGCAGATCAGGTCCCAGGAACGTGACCTTGAAGTGCCAGTACAGGGTGACCTCAACTGTACAGAATAGGCTAAGCTAGCTGCGAAAAATAGCAACCAGCACGTCGGCATACTGCGAAAGGCATTCGGGAGATTTGACCCATCAATCTTCCCAATGATACACAATTCCTACGCGCGCGCACATGTTGAATACGCTATGCAAGCTTGGAAACCTTGGTTGTAGCGTGATGTGGAGGCATTAGAAGTACCACAACGAAGAGCAACAAAGAATGTAAAGGGCCTGCGATATCACTCTTACCACCGAAGGCTGAAGTTGCTGGGAATTTTCAGCGGACGCTACTGAAGGCTACCTGGAGATCTCATATTAGCGTACCAAATATTGAGTGACCTCAACCACGTATGCCGCCATTTGCTTAAACAGCCACAACACGCAGCTCAGGAGTAACTGCTTAAAATTGAAGGAACAATATAGCCGTCTAGAATGTCGACGTAATTACTTTTCCCTTCGGGTTTGCCAACCCTGGAACGCACTCCCAGACTCAGTTGTATCATCCCCTAGTTTGGACGTTTGCAAAAAACGATTAGATGTTGCACGTAGCTCCCAGCACTTTGTTACCTAAACTACGCCATTTTTGATTGCGCCAACCATGCCTTTCTACAGGATTTATGTGTCATATGGACCCAACAAGGAGGCGCAACCATATTTTACTTTTCTTACGTCTTACATCAACGACCACTGCATCCCGTGTATTTCTGCATGTTTACACTCGATTTTTATTTTACACTGACGTCATTTACCAAAGTATTCATCTCTGCAGACGTTCGGTACGTGACCCAGATATATTTTGATTTCATCCTATTCACCCCAACCATCCAAGCACTTGCTTTTATCCCGTGATAAATCATTGTTCAAGTGAGTAGCTGCATCCATATTTGTGGTAAAGATCATATATGTGCATTGCAGAAGCAATAGTGTGGCGGATAAAAATCAACGGCATATGCCTCGTCGTTGAGAGATACAGTCCAACTGGATGTTACCACTCTTTATGTACGTCGGAATCGCTAGGAGTGGATGTTTTATTTTTCGAACTTTCGGAGCAGTTCAACTATTTTTGTCGGTCAGGGCTAATTGATCGGTTGAATTTTTCGGGAAGATTGAGTGGTTTTCAAAAATTTAAGGGGGTAGATAAATCCAAATATATGACTGAAATAATGTGACAATTCGTAGAAACTTCTCCTGGGGACCTGGTTCCATGCGGGTTATTCGCTTGATGGGTTTCACCCGCACTTCCATGCCCATCTAGTCGTGTGCCGGTGTGACTTTTAAATCCGTTAAGTCCGCCTATCTTACTCATTTTGGGGTTGATTTTCTGTCTATATAATGTGGACACTCAAGCCCTCTAGCCCGTACTATCAATCGGTTCTTTGAGTCAAGCACTCTTCTCGCAACGGAACCGATGGCAATGCGCCTTACATGGGTACAATTATTAGCGTTGGAGGCTCCAATCCGTCACCTTAGGAGATCGACCCAATCGTGTTCAACAATGAAGTAAACAATAATATAAAGTATGTGGAGGTAGAACAGTAGTAATAGTAGTATTGATATCTAATGGAGAAATATACTTTGCTTCTGAGCAAGGAAGCTCCGTCGATCAATTTGTAAGAGGAAGTGACCAAAATGGATGGATGCTCGGAGTATCGATATGCAAGAAATTTCTGCTTCCTCGTCATTTGCATACGTCCGAAAAATACATTAATTGATAGCGCTGAGCAATGGCACTCTATCTGTTCCTGAGCTGTTGTCTTCTTGAAAGAAGAGGAAATATTCGACGTTACAGTAGGAGAGTAAAAAGGCGAATCATAAGTAAACAAGGATAAAACGTAGTTTAAAGCTCGCTAATACGAAACACGGGCCGTGTAGTTAATTCGATCAAATTTGCAATTCGATTGTCAGGATGGGTTTGCGTTCAATCCCGTCGCAACGAGACTGGACCTTAACGTGGTGCGACATTTTGCGTACCTCATTGACCCATTGATCTATACTGGGTGATGCCTCTGGGCACTTTGAGAGCTACTCCTACCAGGTTGGTCAATGGTGAGAGGTCAGACGAACTCAGTCTCCTGGTCCTCCAGGTTGGGGGTTGAAATGGGATGGCGTCCATTTCTGCCACATCCGCTGCCTTGCGGACAGGCTTTTGAGCTAAAGGCTTTGGATGAGGACCCTAATCATCCTCCTGCCTAGGTCTGGGCGCCCTGGCAGTATCAGCCCACACACAACCATGAAATTGTCTTCAAACATAAACGTCATCATGCGTCGGCCGTCGCGTAGATTATGAAGGGTCGCCTTATCTGCTGCATACAGCAGGGCGGATAAGCGAAAA